CAATAATTTTCGATAATTAATGCAGTAGGTAACTTAAAAAAAGAAGAATTTATTATATTTTTCCAAGCTTATGTTATAAAATATATTGCTCTCTTCTCCAGTCAAGGTGCGTTTAGAATTTTCAATTATACAATAATACTGATAATTGATTGATATTTTTTTCTCTCTTTTATAAGACTTATTCTTGTAATCAAGTAAATTTATTAAAGCATTCTTGATGATAAGTATAAAATATATTTGACATTAATCCAAGACAATTAAACAAATTAACCTTTAAAAGAGAACCATAGTTGATAAACCTGAATTAAACAAATAAATTGTGGCCGTTTTCTATATAGCCTTTATTTTATATTTGCTTATATTATATTATCTAAATTTTCTACATTGAGAAAAGGAATCACTTATAGCGCCATCTCTATAAAGGCAGATAGGATTGATTAATAAAATGAAATAATTAAAATTGTGTCATAAAACTATAAGAATTCATTCATTAGCCATTTACGCCAATGAATTCTACGCAAAAGTGGTAACCAAAGATTTTATCGATTGAGTACTGTGTTTGAACTTAGACAGCAATTATTTATATTTAAAAGCTTCATATCATTTAAACACTTCAAAGCTCTCTTTAAGAATGTTATAAAATCTTTGTATTTGTGGCTACATGTTACATATGAGTGTTAATATTTTACTTTTTATTAGCAGATAGGAAAACAAAGTTACCTAATAAAACTGAAAATACCTTAAGACATAACTATTCTTTTTAAAAGAGGATCATTTCAAGTTCAAGCTCTTAAGTTATTTTTAAATCTGACTATAGTTTTTGTAATATAACAAAAACATATATTTCACTTAGATAAAGCCCAACATAGTTATTTACTATAATATTAAAATCTTTTCCTCTGTTTTCAAAATATAATTTATTTATTGTTCCGTTGGTTGGCAAAACAAACAGGTTTGTTCCACATCAGGGATAGAATAGCCTGCTCAAGAGAAATTTATTAGTAACTCGTCAATAATTTTGTGTCGGCATACTAATTTTCTTTATTCCTTTATATATAAATGTTTGCATTTTTAGTATAAACTGTGAAATGGGTATTACTATAAATGTATATATACTTGCAGTATATCTGCCTAGCTTAATTATGCGTTTAAGAATTAAAACAGTACTGGCTCAAAATATTAATCAAAATTTTTAATTCAAATGTTCTATTCAAAATAGGATACTTAAACAAGTAATTATATGAAAGTTCAATAGCAGATTGTCAAATTAGCAAAACGAGCATCGAATATGGAAGGGTGGAATTGTCTTGATGTATATTCTAAACGATACTAGTATAGGTGCCAATATAGTTTAAGCATGTAAGGAATATTATGCCATTGTACTAAATAAAAATCAGCAAACAAAAATTATTTATTACTGTATAACTTGAAAATTCACAGTTTATTTAATTACATTTCTTTTATATTAGTATTTAAAACTCTTTTTATTTTAAAAGTTCAGTGTAGAAACAAAAAAAAAGTCAAACACATTGCACTTATTGATACTTTAGTTAAAAAATATTTCAGTTTTCTAACTATTTAAAATAATGCATAGAGAATTCCAGAGAGTAGGAACAAAATCTGCAAGGCTGGCTTTATCATTGTTGATGAATTGCATTTATCAGCTTCACAAATACAAACTGAACTTGAAACAGAAAAAATAGAAACATCTTTACAACCAGTATGAGTTTTAAGTGGTGTACATGTTCTTGTGACTGTCTCTAGAGCTGTTTAAAGAAATTATTTAGTAATACTGACTAAAACTATACCTATTCTACTTACATCCAACTTTCTGAGTACTCTTTGAGCAATAGTTTCCAGTACATGTACCAGCTTTCGAAGGATTATCTTTACAGTCGGAATTCGTTACACTTGTACAACTGTAGCAAGTTAAGGCTGAAAAAAGGAGAAAAGTGTTAAATTTTAAAATTTTAAACAATTTTATTACGAACCCGAAGTAATCGACATAAGAGAAAGGCTTAACAGTCCAAGGAAAAGTAAGTATTTCATAATTTTTGTTAGAATTTTCAAACTGCTTAAAACGCAACTGCAAATGAACTTATAATGAAGTTTGAATTTTCTTTCAAGCTTTTATAGCTTTCCATGATGACAACTGTTGCTATAGTGTTTTTCATAAAATTGCAAATGAGCTTTCACAATGATACGAATGACTATTTGCTAAGAAGTTAGATTATTATAATTCTATAATTATATTAAGATTTCCACTCTCTAAAAGTGTACTTAAAAAAAATAAGAAACTAAAACACCAAATAAGAAAACGAGAAAAAGAGTTATTTTTGGTAAAAGGTTCAGGATGAAGCTTTTATTAACCATTTAAGAAGTAAAAGTTCAAAATCGTAATAAATGATTCAAAAATATCACTTCTTTATCATTTATAGTTTTTTGTAACATTTTAAAATTGGTTCTTCTCTTCTTTTCTTTTTTTTACATATAGCATCTTCGTTTCACCTGCAAACCGTTTCAGAGGACACACAAATACAATTCATATGTACTTATTGAAAAATATTTACCTATAGATATAATCAATCAAATTTGCTACTTGAATATTTAAATAATTAATTAACGAGAAACCCTAATTAAATATATATTTCTAATATAATCTGTTTGTTTTGAATACAAATTTCGTTTAGTATTGTTACCCAGTTACTTCCTTCCCTTCCCTTCTGCATCTTCCTCCATTTTTCTTCTGTAGTTCTACGTAAAAGGTCTTTTAATCTTACATTTCTTTCTATAGAAAGTATTATCTTATGTGCGTATCCATTTTCAGTATATGAGAGTATAAGATGTTTTAAAGTTGAATGCTTTCGTACCGTATTAGATTGCTATTCACCTTGATAAATTTCTATTATTCAATTTAATCTAAAAGTAACTATTGAGTAACTTCTTTAAAGAAAGTTAAAGAGAAACAATTTAAAAACAATCAATTAAAAGATCTAGCCCATAAATCTATTATTATAACTTCTAAAATATTAATGACTGTTATCATTCAAAATTTTATTTATTGATTATGAAGTATATTGCTATATTTAGAATAAATATTCCAAATATTGTATACCACAGCCTTTTTAGAATACGAAATGAATAAATCTGAACTATTCACCAGATGGTGCACCAATCACACAAATTTGCTCTTTGAATGTTAAAATTTCTTTACTTATAGCAAATATAGGATTCACCAAAGCAGTATTTCTTTGTACTGAATCGATTGCAAAAAATAGTTAGTCCGCTATTATTTGTAACATTGTCCCTTACTAAAATTATTTATTATAAGTATTTGTAACTACTGTATAATACAAAATGTAATATTCTTAGGAAGAATTTCTTACTAATTTCATTGATTTTCTATTTATTTTTTCTATTTACTTTCTATTTACTTAATTATGGCATGGGGTAAAGATGCTAGGAATCTTGTAATCAAAAATATGATGAATAAAGAAAAGTTAGGGCAAGAGCAAGGGCTTTTGGAATGGTACCATCTACAATAACCTCAAATGGGGTGTTTGAAGTCTAAAGCAAAGAGCCCCGACCTTGGCTCAATAGAGATCACAAAAAATTTAGTGTATGATGGGGTACCATTCCAGTCTGGAATTAATTATGGGAGAAATTAAAAACTGTTCATACCAGGTTATTAATCAGAATCCTAACTTGCTGCCAAAATTTATATAATGGAATTGACAGTGGAACAATTAAATGTATCGAAAAAGAGTGTAGGCGTTTGAAAGATAATAAAAACTATTGTCCGAATTGTTGTGTCTCACAACCAAATAAGAAGAAAATTCATTAAAAAATAGACAATATAAAAACAAAAAAACTTGTGTAAAAACTTGTCTAAATGCTATTTGAAAGAAATAGATATATAAATCCAAGTTTAAGCTAATATTTTGTAGCTAAAAACTAAAAGATATGCTTTTTTTGATAGTGAAAATGATTTTTAATGTTCAGCCTATCAAAATTCACGGTGTCCGGGTTTTTTGGACGATTACTATATATACAGGTATTTCATTAACAGCATTGGTTGAGTTTAGTTTAAGTTTATTTAATCTATTAAATTCACTTGTTAAATTAAAAAAATATATAAATATATTCTCTTCTTTTCTTTAATAATTCACTCCATATTTATAAAACTTTATAGAAGGGTGAATAATATTCCAAAGAGTACTGCAAAAGTTTGGAGAAGTGGCTTCAATGCAGTTGAAGAATTACATTTATCTCCCTTGCAGTAGCAAATTGTCGTTTCGGCACTTCCAACTGAAGATGAGGTACAGCCCTCACTTGGGGCATTCGAAACACAATTTCTTACAACACTTTGCACATCTAATAAGGGTTTTTTAAATATTTTGTTAGAATTGTTTGTATTTGATCTAAAATTTTAAAAAGTAAAAATTAATGAATACCTCCGACCGACGATTTGGTTTTCATGCAAGCATCTCCAAAAGAACAAGTTGAACTGGTTTCGAATTTGTCTTTACAACCAGCAGTGTTGGTACATTGATAGCATGTAATTCCTGCAGTATAGGAAAACATATTTAAGTTAATATTCTAAAGTTTTATATTATATGCATAAGAACCATAAGAAATGGAAGCAGCCGACATGACAAAAACGAAAATGATGATTAAATTCTTCATTATTATGATCAAAACTTTCTGACGATTTATTCAACAAAATTTCAGAGGTTCTGTAAGAAGTAAACTTTTTCAGTCCATTTTATATACTTTTACCTGGTTACTGTTGTTATGGTTAACTTTAGTAACATTTACATATGCAAATGTAAAGACTTTAGAATAGTAGAAAAAAGACCACTGGAATATTCTTGCTTAGGTCGCACTTTTATAAAGAACAAAGAAATTTCTTTGAAAATTGCGACACCTTTTAGGAAAAAATATTATTTTGCATTTAATATCATAAACTGATCACAAATTTAAATATTAAAGGTTTTCTTGTTTATAGGCTATAGTTATTTCTTTATTCACAAAATTATTTTAAGGAACATTTCTTTTAATACAAATCCTACGCATAAGAATAAAATTTTCTCCTCAAATCGTATGTTTTGAATGAAATAATAATAAGAATCAAATATTTGTTGTCTTTTCTAATTAAGTTCAGCATGTTAAACAGTTTTATGTTTTGATGAAGAAAAAGAAAAATGGCTAAAGTTTGAACTTGAAACTTTACTCAACTTTTTAACCGTTTTATTCGTTTGCTGATAGAAGGATAGCTTTTAGATAAGAAAAAGTTGTACTGCCTATGGAATATTTTACAATTTTTGTTTGAAGTTTGTATACCGTCTTAATAAGCAGAGATAGTCAATTTTCTTATTTAATATGTTATTTATTAATCTCATTTTCTTATTAGTAAAAAGTAAACATGAAATTTGACCGTTAGACAAGAAGAAGTGCTCTAAACGGGTTAGCAAAAGTAACTCCCAGTTTTTAATATTACTATTGCTATTAGTCTTATTGCAGTTGCATATTTGTTGCATTATGATTATTTATTGATGAAAACATACTATACTGGAGATAGAAGTGCTTATTAATTATATTCTATATATTTTACCTATAAAAAGCACTGCTTTATTTTTAAAATCAGTGTAGGTTCAGTTATCTAGAGTAAACACCAAAACCCTAGTCTCTTCAAGAAAACAAACATTGCTTACTCAGCAAAGTTTCTTTTCTTAATGATAAAGGGAAAGGGGATTGCCAGTAAATATATATTTAAAATATCTATCAAAAAAAATTACAGGACAAGATTAATCAATTTCACAATAATGTAAAAATTCTTCTATTTTGAAAAGGGTTAAAAACATAACAGATAACGTCTAAAAGACGCTACATATATCGCTTCAATAATAAATGACTGATTTGAAAATGGATTAATTTCTTAGAAAATCCTACGCAGACCACGCATTTTTTTTCTATTAATCACAATAGTTGTGTTGTATACAATGTAAACTGTTTTATATTTCTACAATTCTCTCCGTGATTTTTCTAGTTTTTCTAGACTTACGTAGAACTGAAAAAAACCGATAGGTTATATAATATTAATGATAATATGTTACAGAATCTTTCAAAGAAGTATTTTAAAGGATTAAGAGAACAAAATTAATACATAACTAATACAAGTTGTTGACACGACCTCTAGTGCCACCTTGTACCTGTAAACTTTTCGATCGAGATAATTGGAAATGATTAATTCTTAAAATTAGATAATCGCCTTAAATATGAAAAACAAGTATATTGTATAGTTGGCTTTTCGCGTTTATAATCTATTCTGTATATGTATATATATGATATGTAGAGATTAAATGTATAATTATGTAAAAGATAGTGTGTCCTAAATAATTAAGTTTGCTTTAAGGTAGAAATAAATTTTATAGACCCCCCCAATGTACTTGATCTCTATACACAATCTTATAAATCTATAATATTACTTTACTTTAAACCAATACTCAGACAAAATTCTTTTATCCTTTCAATATTCATTTCAATAAAGAAAAAGCAGTCTGAAACTAGTTGAAAATCGATTACGAAGGAATATTGTGTTGTTAAAGCCAACGAACTGTTCTATTATTAGTGATAAAATCAATAAGCAATTCATATTTAATTCCGATATCAATTATTAACATCATTACAGTTATAACTGAAAGAGAAATTTTAAAGAATTATATTATTTCCTATTCATAAACAAGAATACGATCTTACGAAATATAATCTATAGCTCAAAACGAAATCTTGCACTATTTAATTGTAATTTAAAACTACTTTATATAAGTAAAAGTCTGTTACTCTTTCAATATAAAACATAGTCTATGGTTCTATTTTTAATTATCTAATTGCACCGCAAACTTGCAGGTCATTCAGTTTAAGCTTTAAATATGTCATATAAATCAATCAAGGTATCAATATATTCCTGCTCTCTTTAAAAAAAAATCTTATCTCCATAGTAGAGTTGTATACAATAACAAAACATTAATTGCAGCCGTGATAATTCTTCTCCATCCTAACTTCCTATTAAAATTTATTATATTCATATCATTTTTTCCTTTTTCTTTTTAACATTAAAGTTGCTTGCAGAATTAAAATTAACAATTTATTTTGTATTATAACAGTGTTATACTGCCAATAAAGAAAATCGTTTTACAAGGAAATAGCATCATTATGTATAACACCTACTCTATGAATCTCATAAAGACAGATTTGTCAATATAAAATTTGCTTTTGATATACTTGTTTCTTTTCATATAATAAAGTATTAATTGTGCCATTAATATATTACTATGATAATCAAGTAACTCCGTTTTGAATGAGCTTTACTAATCGATCATCCAATATAGCCCTATCTTCTACCTTTTTCAACAAAATACAAAGTAATATCATTAATATCATTTATATTTTAAGGGAAAGTTTTATTATATATGCAGTATTTGGAGATAGTCGTAGACAAAAATGTCTGATAAAATGTTATTCTATTAGCATTGCTTGTATAAAGCTTGTTAATCCATATATCTCTTTCCTATTGATTCCTACTGTTATGAACTCTTTTCATAATTGAAAGATTTTATTTTCGACCAAACCTCTTTTATAATTTCCGTATCAACTTTAAACAATTATTTTATGGTTTAATACAGTAAAATACTAAATGAAACTACTTTAAAACTATAAAATGAATCCTAATTTTCATAAAACAAAATAGCTAAAACGTATATAAAAAATTCACATAGAAACAGACAAAAATTTAATTAATGGTCTGAAACTGGTTCAAGAACTTTGAACGGTCAATAATTTTCAGTATTGACTAAAATATGTTAATAGATATTTTCTTCGTTCAGCTACCACCTAATTAATCGTATAATGTATATTATAATAAAGGAGTGTCTGAATAAAATACTTTTTTATTGAATCAAGTGTCATTTTGAATATGTTGATTATCATATAATTTTTAGTATTGTTATATTCCTGAATATAGGTATCTTTTACGTGAAAGTGTATGCAAGTATAAGAAGAAACTAGTAAATGTAATTTTAAAAACAAAATTTACTTTTAAAGACAAACCGAAAGCATCTTAATTTGAAAGTGAAATTTTTTAAACATGCAATTCACACTTAAAACAATATTATTTCTTTTTCAAACTTTACTTAGTATGTAGGTAATTGATAGATAATGGTTGCAAAACTATTACTGAAAGTGAGAATTATCAATTTAAAGGCTGAAACCTTGCTTAATTTCTCAATACAAAAAAAACAACACTGAAAATATTAAACCAAAAACTTCCAAAAGTGGTTTTATTGTTGAGGATGAGTTGCATTTTTCTCCTTTACAATAGCATGTTGCTGTTGTTACTCCAGCAACAGTAACCTCTGAACATTTCTCATTTGGGAGGGTAATAGAGCAACTTCTTGTGACAACACTTCCCACTGAAAGTATCATTGTCTTTTTTAGTAAGCTGTCCAAATTAAAAAAGAAAAGCTATCTTATTTACCTTTAGTTTTGCTGCATCCACCAGTTGAAAGAGCAGTACAAGTATTTGATGTCGACTCTCCACTAAACTTATCTCCGCATTTGCTATCAGTTACACTGGTACATGAATAGCATTTTACAGCTGCATTTTCAAAAATTTTTTAGAACTTTATTCAAGAAAGAACACATGAAACAAACCTAACGTATACGGAATAGCAATGGCACTTAAAAGAGCGATAGATGCAATAAGGAATTTCATTTTTCTTTATTATGCGGAGAGTTCTTAGTGAAGGAAAAGTAAGTGAGTACTGTTGATCAGATTGAATTAAAAACTAAAAAATCTAGTCTTATATAGATGAAGAGTCTGGGCAACAGTAGCTATGGCAAAACAAACAAATTTTTATGTTAATGATTACTTGAAAATATTTTTTTATTAGAAATATTAATGAATTGCTTCATTTCAATCAAACACAAAGCCTCCAAGAAATCTATTTAAAATAAATTATAGATGATAAAGATAATACACCTAAGCATAGTCTTCTAGCTGTTATTCATTTGGAAATAAGTTAAATTAAGTTGATAATTTATGCGCATAGTGCAATAAAAGAAAACAGCGTTGCCTTCAACAAATCTATATATTGCAAGTAATTTGAAAACTTGAAATCTTTGATTTGAATTACTTTATTATCGAATTTAGTGATTTTTTTCAAAAACAGTTGGAATGTACTCAAGTAATTCATTTAACTTGAATTAGTTGAGATCGATATAAGTCCCAAATTAAGGTACAGTATTTAAATTTATCAACAGTCTTTTGTTATATATTATGAAACTAGCTCAAAACAAAAGTGCATAATAAATTGAATATAAATTTCTACTCATTCAATAAACAAAGAAAGGTTCAATTCTATTAAAGAAAGAGATTAAAGGCTTATCTCTTGTAATTATCGAAACAAAAATATAAAATCTAAATGCAATAAAATTTAAAAGCTTGCATCTTGCAAATGGATAAGAGGATATCATTTATTTACAGAATGCTTACCATTATTATGAAACATTTAAATTCTTTTATTGATTGAGAACTTTCTTACAATTTTTGTTTAAATATGAAATCTATTTTAATATTCTTTTATAAAATTGCTTTATATCAAATTTATACTTTACATAAAATATATGTTTGCGATTGTCGTATATCATTTGTTAAAGATTTTTTCTACAAACAAACTATCCCTTCGTTTTATTTCTTTTATTAGAAAGGCTGGAATAGAATCTTATGATTTAATTAACGGAATTTTGCAATATTTTTCCCGATCGATTAACACTCTAAAGTATTTAAAGCGTCTATCGATATACAGTTACTAGGAAACACTTCATTAGGTATTATTTTTAACGAATTTTTTTCAAATGGTCATTATATCTGATACGCGTCAATAAGTTAACATAAATTACTGTATATGTACACACGGTAAGAGGAGAGGGCAGGGATATACAAATTTGTCAATAAAAATTATTGGAAAGTAAAAAAAATGTTTAAATGAATATTATCTTTAAATTCAGTTGTATAAATGTCTTATCCTTCATTCTAAACAAAAAAAAAATAATTAATCAAGTCCTTTTAGGTAAATATTTCACTTTTTCCACTTTAAGGACAACCCTTCCTAAGGTTTTTTGTTGGGACTGTATAATATAGTTGTCGTTTTAAACAATCAAAGAATAGGTTCTACCATCGATTATTAACTTATAAGGAATATTCAAAAAGCTTACAGGTTTATCAAGCTTTCTTCAAAGCATTTGTCTCTATAGTATAACAATAGAAAGGGCTACTTATTCACCTTTCATTCTCCTTAAATTCTAGCACTGTTGATAGATTAAAAATTGGGCCAGTAATTATCGTACTTCTATAGATACGGGCGGTTGCTAAAATATTTCATAAGGTAATATAAATAAGTTTAGACTGTAAAAAAAAAACTTGTAAGTTTCGCTATTTAAATTAATAACACAGAGTCTATTTAATAAACAATCATATCAAGAAACGAAAATCCTTCTGTTATAGGCAAGTAACAAAAAATTTTGGATAATTGAAGAATACAAATAGAATAAGATGCTATTTAGAGGTGAAAATATGTTTGATATTGATGAAGAAAAGATGGTTGGGTTTACAAAAAACATATTCTAAAAATGGAGGAAAAAATATTTTCAGATATAATTACGGCAAGAATTGATTTGTAAAGCCAAAAATAAGGCAGAAGATTGCATAAATAATTCCTACAATTGTCTTATGTCCTAAGGCCATATCGTACTGAATATGGAGGAGATCATCTTAAGTATACGACGTACCACCAATTTAGAGAATGTCTAATCCTAAAGCGTTACTAGATAATTAAAAAATTCTAGTTTTTGGACAGGCTAGTGAACTCTCCCGCTCGAGATTTTAACATTGTTCAAATAGGCGAACAATCTTAGTCTAACGCGTTTACATGATAGTGTATAATTTAAATCTGTAAAAGAACTAAAACATGCTATCCTTTAAACCTGCTATGACTTAAATTTGATCAAAAGCTGCTCAGAATCAATACCAAAGAATGGCTATTAAGTCACTGTCCTCTCTATATCTCTCTCTATAATTGCAGGGGACAATTATACTCAATAGATTTTAGCCTGCAAGAAAATATATATCTGTAAATTGTATGTACAGTGAGTTCAAAACTAGGGTTGATTTCTTATTTCTCTCCTCATTTATTTTTAATTCGGAAGCTATTCTTAGTTTATCGTAATACTTAGATTCAATATTTGAAAACCAAACAACTACTCTTTAAATTCCTAACCTAACAAAAAGGTACTTTTATAGTTAGTGGATAAAATCTATAGGGAATAAAAAACTAAAAACTATAGATGGTTTCCAAACATATACGCTAGATGGCGCGATATGTCGATAAAGGAACGTGTCCCAGAGTTTAAGAGAAAAAGATACTATATGTGTCAAGTGGTTAGGAAAAACGTTTTTATATACTAAATGATGATCATCCGATATAAACAACAAGCATAGAGTGTTGTAAATAACAATCTACTTGTACTAGTTAAAGATTTAGCTTATGTTTACTTTGTGAATTCATACAATTAATATTAAGTAAATTAATAAAATGAATAATACTGGTATATTTGAAATATTAGAATATCTTACAAATATTTCTTATGTAGTTTTACTCCTTTCAAACAGAATTTACTTAATTCTAAAACTTATCTAGTCCTATTAATTTCTTTGATTAGAGAAAAATTCAAGGTTAGTTGTATACCTAATCTAAAAATTACAATTGATAAGGAGAACTATTAACAATTATTAATTATTAATAATTATTAATTACTAGGAAGAATTTTTTCTTTACGTTCGATAAGGATGATAATGAGGCAATAGTTATTGTTTATAATATTAACAATAGAGATGGGTGTGAAAGGTATTCGAAAGTAAATAGGCGATTATTCAAGTTTTCGAATGACACGCTGTCCCACTCTTTCTATAATAAACGAAGAAAAAGGTTGAATAAAGTGGGGGAGCTAAGGGGGTTTTATTAAATATATATTTAGAACTTGTATGTCAACATGTTCTGTATAGCCTATTTCTATACTTTCTTTTTATCTAATTTTAATATACTATACATTGAAAGAGTTGTTTCTTTTTTTACATAAGTCTTTAATTATATTAATATAGATTTTAGGAGAATTGCTGAAGGAGATTTGTTAGATGTCTTTCTAGTCTTTCTATTCAAATGAATGTATATAAATGGATAGAATGTAAATGATTGTGATGGAAGTAATTGTTAGTGTGTGCTTAGCATTAACTGTATCCTAATTTTCTAGGATTTTCCATAATATACCCTTCCGTGTAACAGCAGAAACACGTTCATAACATTGATGGTTTTACTCCAACCATAATCGAGTCGTAGCCCTCTCCTAACCCTATATAATATACATTACTTGTTTTGTGAACCTTACCAAGCACAATCAATAGTTCTTTTTAGGTTTCCAAACCAATTTTCAACCCAAACTTGGATACCAAAGAAACCCAAATATGGATATTTTCACCGACCCCACTTAAAAGATGCATTGTCATGATGATTTTTTTATACCTAGTAGGTTTTCTTTTCTCAGATTGAATATTAGAAACAAATTTTAGTTTTGTTTTGAAAAATCTCCTCAAGGCCTAAATGTTCACTCCATATATTTGATGAATGATTTCTAGGTCTAAATTTGTCATTTCTAGACCATTTTGTTGCGCATAAAGCTATTCTTTTGTAGTATTCATTGTATAATAACACAAGAATGTTAACATCCTTGTGTGGCTACAATTTCAAGAGATATTTTGAAGAAAATATTTGCATAATATTATTGATATATTCCTTTTCGTTCTGGGTACTTTATTTAACCTCCATTTGCCACTTTACAAGTAAAACTAGAGCGGACGCTCAAGGTGCCTTTGACACGTGTTTAGGTCAATGATATTTCACTGGAACTGAAAGTCAAGCTCTCCTTTTTTATACCCAAGAAATGCGTCCCTCGTTTTTAAGCTCCAAAAACAAATATCTTTTTTATTACAAACTGCTTTCCCATAGCTAGTTTTTTTGATGATTAATGTTCACTCTGTCGTATATAGTAGTCTCTTTTAATATGTTGCTAAGTGCAATGTCAAGGACGGGAGAAATGATTTTCTTTTTTCTTTATTAAATATATTAATAAATATTTAATACCTATTTAAAACAATTAACAATATAGGTATAATTTCCTATAATATGTTTTTTTTTTAAAAAAAAATCTCTATAACTAATAATATCATTTTAAAAATGATAAATCCAGAGTAGCGAAAAAAGAATAAGAATACAGAATGTGTCATTTTTCACTGTTGTCTTCCTTTCATTCAAAAATAAATGAAAGATGTATAGTCCAAATTATAACTTTTTGCTTGTTTTCCAATTAGCCATCCCAATCTTATATTGTCGTAGGAGCGAAGACATTGAGATTTCTGTAGTCTGTTGGTTTTCGTCTTTTGCCTAATTGAAGTGTGTTAATACCAATTGAACCTTCATTAGTTTTTGTCTTGTTCATGAAATATTCGGTAAAGCTCCTTACGACATGTAAATCTTTATTTCGTATAATGGGTTCCACGTTTTTTCCATGAACTTCCGGGACTTTTTCTGATGGTAGATCAAAATGGCCAAAATTTATAAATAATTCCAACTGAGGAGACATTTCGCCAAGTTTTTCAAATAATTCTTCAAATCGATAATAATAATATCTTCGTATACCACGGTCTCTTCTGTTAGACCATCTGATTTCGTCTGTAATCAAGCGTCGACAGCACGCGGTTTTCAATTAGAAATCCGGCTAGAACTGGTATTCTTGCATCAGAAACGCCTCGTGTGTAGAATTTTTGCGAAGCGGTTTTAACCGGTTACGCTAGACCTATACACTCACGAGTGTATGAAAATTACTAGAAAGGTGTCGCTGTTTACTACAATGAAAATATTTGGTCGTTGGCGCCATCTACATTCCATTTATTGAGTTTAGCAAAATAAATCGTTCTACATGGTTTTATCCTTTTGTTAATTAGTTTATTAAGACTATTTTTACATGATAAAAATGATCATTTCTAGAGATGAGAATAGACAATTTTTAAAAAGAATTTAAAGGGATAACTTGTGTGGTTAAACGGCATTTCTCTTTATCCAATCAAGTTGCACACTAACTTTAGCATATACTCCTGGATGAGTTGGAAGGGCGCATCCCTCTCCCCATGATGTTAATCCAACGATTTCGAATTTTCCATTGTTATTGAAAGCCATTGGACCACCAGAGTCCATTTGACAGGTATCTCTTCCTGGGGCAGATGCACAGATCATGCTGTCATCTATTTCATCTGGATACGGTCCTTCGCAGTCAGTATTGGACCATACTCTAACATTAGTATATCTAAGTTCATCTGTGGCAGGACTTCCAGAGTACGTACCACCCCACCCCGAAATAGTGACAATTTTATCAACATAATCCACAGAACGTGGGCTACAAGCTGGCGCTACATTTTCATTAAACACCAAAGGAGTAGCAAGTCTCAGCAAGGCAATATCATTTGAATGTTCTAAAGGATCTTCGTATTCTTCGTGATTAATGATTTGTAAAACGTTTGATGTTTGTTCTGGGCCGTGAGGCTGACTTCTTTTATGATACCCAGACAAAACTTCTACTCCAATAGTTGATCCGGACGAAACACAATGAGCTGCAGTCAAAACCCAATTTGTATTCAAGATAACTCCGCCGCAATTGTGAACTTTAAATATGTAGATGCTGACCTGAAAGATTTCAAATTGAAAGCTTGAAGTTTCTTAAGAAATGTTTACTTGATAGGGAAATTCGTTTGGTCTAGATTCCCATCCTCCAACAACTCTAGGACTCCTATGCCTTTCTAATTCTCTGCCTGCATCGCTATATTTACTTTTACCACAGTCACCTGACAATAAATTTACGTTAAACAAGCACAAATATTTTAAATATCTATAGTTACTTAGCCATTGGGCGCTAACTGTGCCAACAAGAAGAATTAGGATGAAACTTTTCATGTTTTATTAATCCGTTTGAAAGTGAAATATTCGCATTCAGAGCAATTTTTCAAATGTATTTATAGTGAAATGTATCGACTATCATTTGTTATTTCCCAGATATTCTAATTTGCCTTACAAAAATCTTATAATATTCAAAGTTTAATTTGTCTAAATTTTCCCTATCTTTTCATCAAATGTACTATAAATACTAGATATACATTTACTATTTATCATTAAGAAGTCGGAAGTATCATATGATAACTATTCGCAACAGTTCATACTTCTTTTTATTAGAAGTTTTATAAATAATCATAAAAAAACAAAGAATCCCTTCTCATAAGATATTCGTATCGACAACCATTGTTATATATGGATTTTTTGGAATTACTTTTATAAACATTCTGCGATGGTCAATAGTCATTGTAGCAATAGGAAAGTTTGATACCCCCTTGATTTCTCTTGACGTATAGCTGTAAAGTCACAGTAATATGTACTAAATATACTTTATATATTAAATTAGTAAACATTCTATGTATTATGGAAATCTGAACAAAGAGAGTATAAAGTTGGAGAAATAAATTTAGAATATTGTTTCCCAGGAAATGTTCTATCTATGTGAAAAAACAGATGTTTTCAATAAAGTACATTATAAAGTATTGAGCAAATGAAGAGAAAGTATTACTCTCTCGAGTTGACTAGATGTATAGCAGATTATTAAAATCAACACAAAAGTCGTAACTGTGAAATTTTCAAATATATATATTTCTTTTATTAAAAAAAAACGTATCAAATGCATTAGACATTTCTAAAGTGTAATTAGTTAGTTGGCAATTAAGAAGAATTATAATTAAGACGTAATGGAAGAAAGAAATTTAATAAAGATCATTAGTTTTTAAAAATTTTAGATTTCTAGCTATTTTATTAAATCCAAGCGTTCCTCAAATTTAAATATAGTATTATCAATTTGAAGAAGACGTAAGTTAGAAAGTAAAAATATTTGTGCGTTTAACCATTCAATTGTACTTAGATAAAAATAGTTGTTGATAACTATTCTTAAATAATTGATAACTCTCAGATCCAAATTGGATAACATTTTCTACGGGTTGATCATTAAATAGATACAGTCAAACCTATTTTCCAAGGATAATAGAAACACAAATTGGGAATATGGTTGACTGATATGTTGTGTTGACAATACCATATATTTCACAAAACAGTTTCCTCTCTCTGAGTTCAATTGACTTACATTCAAACACTTTAAGAACCAGTCTCATACTAGGATCAATGGATCGGTTATTGATGACTAAGTTAGTGAAGATAAACGCTATCGCCCGTACAGCCTTTGAACTATGAAAGTCAAAGCATTATTCACAGAAAAGAAAATTCTAAAGGCAATAAGTTTAATACAAGAAATTTTTTTGAAGGTAGAGTATTAAGTATAAGTTTTGAAAGAAAACAATGGCTTTCTAACATTATCTCCAAGGATATTAAGATTATACTTTTAAAAGAAATACAAAGATAAAACTATGCCATGTTATAACAAGATAATAAACAATTATGCAGAAACAGTTATAAATTTCGAAACAAACATGAGCAACTTAGATAACAAAGTTGCATTTAAAAGGGTTCAGTAAGTAAGGAAAAAATTTATGCCCATTAAGAGAACTACTAGAATATAGTAGTCCTATTTGGATAATAGGGTTTTGTGCAGGACGTAGAAAAATAAAAAAAAACTGCATCTATCATACATTTACACTACTAAAGATATTCTTTTTCTTTTTTACCATATCCTCTTTAACTTATTTATTAATCTATATAGTTCATATTAAAGCAATTTTGTCACTAATTGTAGAACAATACATTTACCTACACAAGTAATCCGATGACATATATTGAATGTAGATAAAAATTTCATTTCAAACAAAGCCTTTTATTAAATAATTAATCTGAATATTTAGAATTCGTCAGAGAGCTAAAGTATCAAAATTGACCAATAAAATTTGCAATCACAATTCTTATTTACAAATTGTAAATGACTCAATTCAATGGTAAAAGATGCCAATTATTCAATTCAGACTAGATAAAGAAAGACAATTGAAGTTTCACTTTCTTTTGATCATCTTATAATACAATTGATAAACTCATATCGAAAACAAATTATCATCATTTACAAAAGTCTGCAAGGTTTCAAAATTTTCAAACATTAGCCAGTTGTTTTTTAAACATACCTATATCCAGTTGAGAACTCACATCATGATTTTGATAACCAATCTTAAAAAACATATTAAAGTACGCTTCTTTTGTCTCAAAATAGTAATTGAAAAACATATAAATTGGTCATTGAGCATTAGATCATTACCTCGAGTCGAAGCAAACTCAATAATGAAGGTTTTCTTGCTCTTAGCTTTTGTCGCCTGCGCCAGCGCTCAATGGGCACGTATGTTATTTTTATTCTTATTCTTTTTATATCAACCGATTGTTCTTTCATTATTAATTTTTATATATCTCAGCCAACTGCGGAAGAAGTCAGTACCCTGATCCTGCTCCCGAACAGAATACAGATGAATTCGGTAGAGTTGTTGGTGGCTGGGAATCCAGACCAAATGAATTTCCTTATCAAGTAAGTATCTTCTAACATATGATCACGATATAATATTCATTCATAAAATGACGAAAATTCATTTCATTTATTCTGATTTATAGTTGAGTTTGAGAAGATTTGGAAGTCACACTTGCGGAGCTGTCATCATCAACAGCCAATGGGCTCTTTCTGCCGCTCATTGTACTTCCTCTGGATCTGCAAGTGGTTTGGCCGTTGTTGCTGGAGCTCATCGTAGAAGCAGCCCAGCTGCTGCTGAACAAACTTCAAACCTTTTGAGTGTAACCAACCACGAAGACTACCAAAACCCCCTTCGTTACTCCAACGATATCACTCTTCTCAGATTGGAAACCCCATTGACCTTCAACGCTCAAGTCACTGGTGCCTGTGCCCCAAGAGATGTCACCTATGATGATGATACCGTTACCATTTCTGGATGGGGATCTACCTTCTCTGGTGGTTTCGTTACCGATGAATTGAGATACACCAATGTTCAAGTATGGAGCAATGATGAATGTTCTGGCCCATACCCAGGAAGCATCGATGATAGCATGATCTGTGCTGCTGCCCCAGGCAGAGATACCTGTCAAGGAGATTCTGGTGGCCCAATGGCTTACAACAACAACGGTCAATTCGAAGTTGTCGGTTTGACTTCATGGGGAAGAGGATGTGCTCTCGCCACCCATCCAGGAGTTTACGCCAGAGTCAGTGCCAACCTCCAATGGATCGCTGATAACACCCAATAAACTATTTTAAATAAAGTGCCCAATTCATAATAATACTTGTTTCAATAAACAATTGCTATAAAAATAGAACAAATAACCTAGGCCAAACTTTGCAATCATTTCTAATTATTTATGACTTATGTCATACATGCCTCTTTTTCTTTAATACTTTTTAAAAAAGCTGAATGGTTACCATAAGTTTCTCTAACAGTTTAAAAGTACTAAATTCTTAAAACGTTTAATGGTTTATTGAACCCTTTCCACTTTATTCAACAACTATTTTATCTGTATAATGATAGAGGAAACTTTTCATGCTATACTATGTTTTTAGAAACTATTTTTAGAGGGAGTCAGTACTATTTTAATTTTAATACATGACTAAATAATAAGAATTTTAGGCCTGATTTTCTTATCTTATCGTGCTATTCGATTTTTGAATTTCCAATATGTTGAAAGAGATTTTAATACAAAATTTAATTGAGATAAAGTTTCTATATAATATATTCCTAATGAAATAGTACTGAAAAAATGAGTCATCCATATCTGCACTTAAGAAGAATAACAAAGATGAATAGGAAAACGAATTTTAAATATGAGAATCGACTTATTAATGAAGAGATTAATAAATTTTTTAAGGATAAAATAAGAGTTACTTGTATTAAATCCTCAAAAACTAAGGTTTTTGACCATAAAAGTGGATAAGTTATAAGATTGGAGAGACAAGAGGAATAACTAAGAATATGAATTCAGAGCTTCTTGTGAAGAAAAAATCAGAGCTAGCGATAGTGTAACCAGAAGTTTGGTATACGTAAGAATATGTCATCGCAATCAGAGACCTTCAAAATCAATGAATACAGGTTTTGGTCAGGCCTGTTAATTTTCACTCTATTTACATATTTTAGTACAGAAGTGCCGCTTGAGAAAAAAATACTCAATGAATAGTGGACTATCTTTCTGATAATCCTACTTTACCCAGTCGATTACTAGTGTAGATGTCATTAGACATTAGTAAACAGTAGATTACCTTGTTGTTATAAAATATATTCAAGATTTACTGATAACACATAGACAATCATACTTTATCTATAGTAGTCCTCAATTGGATGATAATTCATATAGTAATTTCATTCAAATATTCATTTTTTCTATTTATCTCAAAAACCATGACTGTCAATAAAAATCTTGCAGAGATTACATTACTCTATTCTAACATTTTCATCAAATTTAGTATCTGATTTCGAACTACTTGGCCAAAATCTTTATGCTAAGCCAATCCAAATAATATCTTTGGTTATAAAGTAAATATAAAGTAATATATATTTTATTCCGTTTCTATAACCTAATTAACCTTTAAAAAATACACAAATGCATATTCGCACAATAATCAGTATGAAAATGAAAAATAGATAAAAACAAATACATTTTTAATAAAGAGACAATGTGCTTTTCTTTAAAGAGGCCATCCGATGACATGTAATGTAGTACGAGTGTCATCTATTATAAGAATGAAACTCTTATATATAAGAATTTTTCAGATATCAAAAATTACTCCTTTATTAGATAAACAGCATACGTTCTTCATCGAATTTTAATATTCAATGCAAATAAATAAATATAGTAATATCTATAAAAATCTAATTATTTCATAAATCAATAATTATTCTTCAAATTCACAAATCAATTTTTATTCTTAATTATTAGATTTAAAAGCTTTTATCATTCAAAATAATCATTGTGCATTTGTTTTGATCCATTCCAGTTGAGCGCTTACTCTGGCATATACTCCAGCATAATTGGGTTCGGCACATCCTCTTCCCCATGAAGTCAAACCAATAATTTCAAATTTTCCATTGTTATTATAAGCCATTGGACCACCAGAATCTCCTTGGCAGGTATCTCTTCCTGGAGCAGCAGCACAGATCATGCTATCATCAATTTGGTTGGGATAGGATAGGGAACAAAGGTCTTTAGCTTGAACTTGAACATTTGTATATCTCAAAGCATCAGGGGATGATCCACCCGAAGCTGTGTTTCCCCATCCAGAAATAGTTACTGTATTGCCAACGTAATCATCAACTCTTGGTGAACAAGCGGCAGCAACATTTGCATTTAAAACCAATTCGCTCGCCAAACGGAGGAGAGATATGTCATTTGTGTGTTCCAGAGGATCATTATACTTTTCATGATTTATAATTTGAAGAACTTGAACTCTTTGAACAGCAGAACCATGATCACTTAATTTATGAATACCAGCAACAACCTCATAATCTCTAGCATTTCCATCAGTACAATGAGCGGCACTTAAAACCCAACCGGTGTTCAAAATGACGCCTCCACAAGTATGACTTCCAAACTCATACAAACTAATCTACATTGAAAACAATAAAATGTATGTAAATAATTGAAGAGAAAGTATACAAAATCAAATTCAATTATTTTACTTGGTATGGAAATTCATGTTCTCTTGACTCCCAACCTCCTACAACTCTTCCAAATCGATCAGTTTGTTGCTCAGGAGCCGGATTAGGATATTTGGACACTCCACATTCGGCTAAACAATAAAACTAATTTACAAATACCTTTAATAGAAGAGCATTGAGTGTACTTACTGATCCACTGAGCGTTGGCACAAGTGATAAATGCTAGAAGAACAAAGACTTTCATAGTTAGATGATACTTCTTATTGAAGTGTTGAATATGGTATAATTCAAAGAGCCTTTTATAGAAGACCAAATGAGCTTTTTTCTATAATTAATTGTGGTTTTAACCACAACATCTGACATGTGACATGCATTTCTTCTCTCATTACTGAAATAATCAATCATTTAATAGACATTATTTTTTGTTTGTTTAAAAATGTTGCAAAAGTTCAATATGCCTAAAGGCGCATATGGTGTCTTAAAGTTCTCAAAAAGGGTTTTACAAAATATGACGTAAATAGTCAAAAATACAAATTAACTGAGCTGAAAACCTACTACAACAAAAATAACTACAAAATCGGCTATTTGCCGCAGAAGAATAATAATGTATTCATTGTATGTCTATGTAATTTAATAAGTATGTATAGAGTGGAAAGATATAGAGACTAGAGACTAACCAAGTTAAGGAAAGGGAGATCCACCTATAAGTTACTTTAACAGGCTATTTTTTCACAGAGAAATAATCCATTCGGATTATATGCATAAAGACACTCATGGAGCAGTAAACGAAAATAGATGTTATATAATTAAAGTTGTTAAATAGTGTTTTCTCTAATATTAACAGTATAATTAGGAATATCTATCTATTCAAGTCTTTTTAAGGTATTTTGAAGATTTCTGTGTTGTTTTTTAATGTGTGTCCCCTACAAGTTAAAAAAAAAAGCAAACACAAAATAATTACAGTTTGCATGTGCAGTTGTTATAAATAATTCAATTCCGTATTAAATAAATAATAACACTAAGATATTAGTGTCTTAGGGAAATTAGTATTAAGCGAAGGCTCTTTAAAGAATATCTAAACAATTAAAGTAAAGTTTTAAGCTTTTTAATGTCACATATCTAAGTCTCCATATTATCAAAAATTCTCGTAATTAATATAGAAACAAATAGAATCTAAACACACAAAAGAGTTCAATTTAAAAAAATCTGTTACTAGCAGTATGACCCTTCTTTCGATTAAAATATGTCAATTAGTAGACAGTATGATTAAAAGTTCACTTCTATTTGTTTCACCTTATCTCTCTACTGCAAGTTAATTCTTTCATAAATTAAAAATTAAGAGGTTATTTGTTCTATTTTTATAGCAATTGTTTTTTGAAACAAACAAAAAATAATGTCTATCAAATGATTGATTATTTCAGTAGTATAGCATGAAAAGTTTCCTCTATCATTATACAGATAAAATAGTTGTTGAATAAAGTGGAAAGGGTTCAATAAACCATTAAACGTTTTAAGAATTTAATACTTTTAAACTGTTAGAGAAACTTATGGTAACCATTCAGCTTTTTTAAAAAGTATTAAAGAAAAAGAGGCATGTATGACATAAGTCATAAATAATTAGAAATGATTGCAAAGTTTGGCCTAGCTCACAGATGAGCTTTCTTTATTCATTGGGTAGAATTATATGTGATAAAGGAAGCTCTGCATTGGATTAAGATTTTAAAATACGAATAGTTGAAAGAGCTAATGAATCACTATTGAAATTTTGAAAAGTTTTGTCATACAATATTACCAGTGCTACTTTCATTCAAATGTCTTTGCAAGAGAAAACAGTCATTTGCTTATTTAATAACTACTATCTCAGTAACTAATTATTTAAGGCGTAAAACATTAATGACTGAAGCTTATTCATAAACAGATTGTCATGGCAACAGAAAAGCAATAAAAGACTAGTATTCTAATAGTTTTCAATAGACGATTTCTTTGAAGTAATTTTATTAATTTTTACTAAGTAAACATTATCGACTTTTTAGACTCCAAATACAATAATATGACTGCTAGTAATGCTCAAACATTCCAAACCTTTTTAAAACTATGTAATACAAGCTAATGTGAAAAAGACATGTGTTCCGTATACAGATAAGCAACAATTAAAATATATCCATTTGCTATGCTTAGAACATTCAAGGCCTAAATAAAAATAATTATCTAGATACATCACAACTGATGTCAAAACATTACTAATTCACTTTAATTTTCACAAAGCCTATAAAAAACCTTCTGAACATTTCAGTTTTGATAGAAGTTCAAAAAACAGTACCAGTAACTGATAATATTTCACTGACAAAAATAGCTAAAATTGTGTGAAACAAAATCCACCACATGTTTCATTCTATTCTATGAAAGATCAGATTTTTTTCTTATGTGAATTCAACAGCATGACTATGATAAAAAGTCTTAAATAAAAATACTAATTACGCATCTTTCGTCTCAAAATAGTAATGAAAAACATATAAATTGGTCATTGAGCATTAGATCATTACCTCGAGTCGAAGCAAACTCAATAATGAAGGTTTTCTTGCTCTTAGCTTTTGTCGCCTGCGCCAGCGCTCAATGGGCACGTATGTTATTTTTATTCTTATTCTTTTTATATCAACCGATTGTTCTTTCATTATTAATTTTTATATATCTCAGCCAACTGCGGAAGAAGTCAGTACCCTGATCCTGCTCCCGAACAGAATACAGATGAATTCGGTAGAGTTGTTGGTGGCTGGGAATCCAGACCAAATGAATTTCCTTATCAAGTAAGTATCTTCTAACATATGATCACGATATAATATTCATTCATAAAATGACGAAAATTCATTTCATTTATTCTGATTTATAGTTGAGTTTGAGAAGATTTGGAAGTCACACTTGCGGAGCTGTCATCATCAACAGCCAATGGGCTCTTTCTGCCGCTCATTGTACTTCCTCTGGATCTGCAAGTGGTTTGGCCGTTGTTGCTGGAGCTCATCGTAGAAGCAGCCCAGCTGCTGCTGAACAAACTTCAAACCTTTTGAGTGTAACCAACCACGAAGACTACCAAAACCCCCTTCGTTACTCCAACGATATCACTCTTCTCAGATTGGAAACCCCATTGACCTTCAACGCTCAAGTCACTGGTGCCTGTGCCCCAAGAGATGTCACCTATGATGATGATACCGTTACCATTTCTGGATGGGGATCTACCTTCTCTGGTGGTTTCGTTACCGATGAATTGAGATACACCAATGTTCAAGTATGGAGCAATGATGAATGTTCTGGCCCATACCCAGGAAGCATCGATGATAGCATGATCTGTGCTGCTGCCCCAGGCAGAGATACCTGTCAAGGAGATTCTGGTGGCCCAATGGCTTACAACAACAACGGTCAATTCGAAGTTGTCGGTTTGACTTCATGGGGAAGAGGATGTGCTCTCGCCACCCATCCAGGAGTTTACGCCAGAGTCAGTGCCAATCTCCAATGGATCGCTGATAACACCCAATAAGAAGTTTCAAACTTGATACTTAAGCCAAAATAAATTGTAAAATGTTTTAAATTAGTTTCTATCACAAATAATTTCTTTTAAGTTGCGTTTGCGTAATTGCGCTATGACTATTCAGGTTGAATGTTTTACGTAGAAGAATTTTTTTGGAAGGCAAACACATATCTTAAATACAAAACGTATTGTTGGTGAAATAATAACATTCTAAGAGACGATATAGTTTTCGGAAAGTATGAATACGTTTCTGCTTCACATGATAAAGCAATTTTATTCCATTACTAAAGGTAGATTAATTATGATAATTATTTTTTTTAACAAAGCACACTTTTATTGCTTTCCTGTTGGAAATAATGTGAAGTTTTGTTAAAGGCTTCGAAAAGTCAACATCGATGAAACGTTTTTCTTTTTTTCGTAATTTTTGTAATTTATAAATACTTTGCACATGTTTCAAATAATGCTACAAGTTAAATTTTGAATGTATTACCTAATTGAAAGAATGATAGAAAAAATAAGTTTGACAATTGACAAAAAAAAAATTGAAGACTAAAAAATCTTTTTCTAACCAACAAATGAGATCACGTAAATATGACATATTCAGTATTCTTTAGTTTTCAAAAGGACAGAATTTTTGAAAATGTTTCTTGAAAAACTCTTATATAGCGCATCTAAACAAAACGTATTGAATAATTGAAAAACGTTTCTTCCTGTCGGGAAAATGGCTTTCAACATTAAATAAACCTGTTGAATTTGAAATGGCACACTTTCTTATATGTTAATAATATATGTATATTAATTGAATAAAGATTTACTTATATAAGCTTGGAAGTCATACTTGTGAAGGGGTCATATTGAATACCGATTGTGCGTTAAGGCTGCACATTGTACTGATGGAAATGCTAGATGTTGAGGTTGTTGCTAGTATTTAAAAGAAATCATGAAAGATATGAAATCGTTTTTTAATGAAAACATTGCTCTTGTTTGTGTACCAAGAGTAGATGGTAACATATATACATATACTGTATCAACAGAACAGTTATTCTTATTTATTGAATGGGGAAACACAGCTTTGGGTGTCTTAAACTGATAAATTGAGATGTATAAACGTTTAAGTTTAAGCTAAAGATGCTTATCTTCTATCCTCTCCTGGTGAAATTGAATAGGACATTACTTGTGCTATTTCTGACGGAAGAGATACTTGCTAAGAATATACTAGTGAGCCTCTTATCTATCAACATATGATTTAGAGTTGTTACTGAAACTTCTAAGAGTGTTTGATAAATCAAATAAAATTAAAGTATTTGAGAGAATGAGAACTTAAATAAAAAGAATATTCCTATTAGTTTTGGAAAGTGATACGGAGAAAATTTAAATGCAGAAAAGCAATTTGTTCAAAAAGGGTTAAGGAATTGTGCATTCATAATGTTGAAAACAAACTTTAAATGTCACTTTCCCTTAAGAGATATAAAACAGAAACCTTTCATATTCTTGTTGTTCTATATTAGCTAAAATATATGACAATAAATATTTTAAATGTGAAGAAATTACAAAAACAGTTTGAATGATAAACATCTGTTCCCACTATGTTCACTTAAACTAAGTTTTAAAAAATTGTGCCGTGAAACAACAGATCTGTAAAAAAAACCCCATTCGTTATATTAAAAACCATCTACAAATTTCGTACCATTTTAGGTCATTTTACAATTGAAAAGTAAAACACATCATTATGTAAGTAATCTATCAACACTAACTATTAAAAAAGCCGTTTTATTAAACCACAAGTATCTTTAAAGAATTCAAAAGCTTTTTTATTTAATTCATAACTAACAGTATAAGAGTCACACTGGTCTTTTATTATATAATCAGATTAGTAAAATAAAAATAACAAAAAAAATAGTACAAAAACATCAATTGAAATAGAAAAATACATCTCATTAATAAAAGTGTGAGAAAATAACACACAATAAATGACTATCTAGCATTAAAAAACCAGATGTTCATCAGATAAAAATCTTATACTTTTCACTATAAAAAGACTCAATTTTCGTAATATATTACACTTTCTTTTGAATCACCTCTTCAGCCATGAAAGTCTTCCTTCTTCTTGCCTTTGTCGCCTGTGCCAGCGCTCAATGGGCACGTATGTTATTTTTATTCATATTCTTTTTATATCAACCGATTGTTCTTTCATTATTAATTTTTATATATCTCAGCCAACTGCGGAAGAAGTCAGTACCCTGATCCTGCTCCCGAACAGAAAACAGATGAATTCGGAAGAGTTGTTGGTGGCTGGGAATCCAGACCAAATGAATTTCCTTATCAAGTAAGTATCTTCTAACATATGATCACGATATAATATTCATTCATAAAATGACGAAAATTCATTTCATTTATTCTAATTTATAGTTGAGTTTGAGAAGATTTGGAAGTCACACTTGCGGAGCTGTCATCATCAACAGCCAATGGGCTCTTTCTGCCGCTCATTGTACTTCCTCTGGATCTGCAAGTGGTTTGGCCGTTGTTGCTGGAGCTCATCGTAGAAGCAGCCCAGCTGCTGCTGAACAAACTTCAAACCTTTTGAGTGTAACCAACCACGAAGACTACCAAAACCCCCTTCGTTACTCCAACGATATCACTCTTCTCAGATTGGAAACCCCATTGACCTTCAACGCTCAAGTCACTGGTGCCTGTGCCCAAGAGATGTCACCTATGATGATGATACCGTTACCATTTCTGGATGGGGATCTACCTTCTCTGGTGGTTTCGTTACCGATGAATTGAGATACACCAATGTTCAAGTATGGAGCAATGATGAATGTTCTGGCCCATACCCAGGAAGCATCGATGATAGCATGATCTGTGCTGCTGCCCCAGGCAGAGATACCTGTCAAGGAGATTCTGGTGGCCCAATGGCTTACAACAACAACGGTCAATTCGAAGTTGTCGGTTTGACTTCATGGGGAAGAGGATGTGCTCTCGCCACCCATCCAGGAGTTTACGCCAGAGTCAGTGCCAACCTCCAATGGATCGCTGATAACACCCAATAAACTATTTTAAATAAAGTGCCCAATTCATGATAATACTTGTTTCAATAAACAATTGCTATAAAAATAGAACAAATAACCTCTTAATTTTTAATTTATGAAAGAATTAACTTGCAGTAGAGAGATAAGGTGAAACAAATAGAAGTGAACTTTTAATCATACTGTCTACTAATTGACATATTTTAATCGAAAGAAGGGTCATACTGCTAGTAACAGATTTTTTTAAATTGAACTCTTTTGTGTGTTTAGATTCTATTTATTATAGCAACTACACATGTATGCTGCAATTATTTTGTCTTGCTTTTTATTTTTAACTTGTAGGGGACACATATTGAAAAACAGCACAGAAATCTTCAAAATACCTTAAAAAGACTTGAATAATCTATTCAAGATATTCTTAACTTATAGGTGGATCTCCCTTTCCTTAACTTGGTTAGTCTCTAGTCTCTATATCTTTTCACTCTATACATACTTACTAAATTACATAGACATATAATGAATATATTATTATTCTTCTGCGGCAAATAGCCGATTTATAACTTTTTTTGTTGTAGTAGGTTTTCAGCTTATAATATCAATGGAAAATTTGAAATTATTGGTTTGACTTCATGGGGAAAAGGATGTGCCGAACCCAATTATGCTGGAGTATATGCCAGAGTAAGCGCTCAACTGGAATGGATCAAAACAAATGCACAATAATTATTTTAAATGATAAAAGCTTTTAAATCTAATAATTAAGAATAAAAATTGATTTTTGAATTTGAAGAATAATTATTAGTTTATGAAATAAATAGATTTTTATAGATATTACTATATTTATTTATTTGCATTGAATATTAAAATTTGATGAAGAACGTATGCTGTTTATCTAATATAGGAGTAATTTTTGATATCTGAAAAATTCATATATGTATGAATTTCATTCTTATAATAGATGACACTCGTACTACATTACATGTTATCGGATGGTCTCTTTAAGGAAAGCACGTGCTCTCCTTGTTAATAATGTATAATGTACAAACGTTTTTATCTATTTTTCATATTCATACCGATTATTGTGTGAATATGCATTTGTGCATTTTTCTAAAGATTAATTAGTTTAAGAAAACGAAATAAAATGTATGTTCCTATATATTTATTTTATGAGAGAAGATATTTTTAGGATTCAACAATTGAAAAAATTCATTTAGTCATCAATCAAAGACAACACATATTATAATAATTTTAGAATAATGAAGTAGAATATTATGTGGTTAAGACATGAAGTTGATTTACAGACGATCGAGAAATTTCATAAAAGTTACAGAAATTTGTATATTTTACATAAATATTTTATCAACGGAATAGTCTGTTTATTAAATTTTAATACATATTTTTGTAATAGTCAAAAAAAACTTCAATTTACTAATTCAATTAAAATTTCCACTTGGAATTTCTCACATAGACATCACTGAAAATCGATAAATAACAGGTGACGGAAGCACAATAAACAAGGCCTCTGTTACAAACAAAGAATAGCTAATTTCAAATAGTATAAAAGGCAAATAAATTGACTTGAAAGTTATAGTGTGAGAAAGTCTAAACATTAGAATGAAGGCTCTTCTTCTGTTAACATTTGTTGCTTATACCAACGCGCAATGGCTTTGTAAGTTTATCAGTTTAGGTTTTATAATTTTTTTTTAACAATAACTTTTTGATTAGCCGAATGTGGAGAGTCTAAATATCCTAATCCCGCTCCTGAGCAACAAACTGACCGATTTGGCAGGGTCGTTGGAGGTTGGGAAGCTAGAGTCAATGAATTTCCCTATCAGGTCAGAATCTTTTCGTTTTAGTTTTATTATCAGGAAAGTAAAAATTTATTCAAATCTGTTTAGATTAGCTTAAGAGAATTTGGAAGTCATGCCTGCGGTGCTGTTATCGTTAACGAGGACTGGGTTTTGTGTGCTGCTCATTGTACTGACGGAAACGCTAGAGATTACGAAGTAGTTGCTGGAGAACATTACAGAAGCTCCCCAAATGCCGCTGTTCAAGTAATTCCAGTTTTGCAAATTATTAATCACGAATTTTATGAAGATCCACTTGAAGACTCAAATGATATTTCCCTCCTCCGTTTGGCTAACAAAATAGTTTTTAACGAGAATGTTCGTCCTGCCTGCTCTCCTAGAGAAGTTGATTATGTTGACAATACTGTTACAGTTTCTGGATGGGGAACAACATTTTCAGGTGGATCTGTTACCGATGAATTGAGATACACTAATGTTCAAGTTCAATCAAATGATGATTGTGCATTGTCTTATCCCGGGGAGATTGATGAGAGTATGATATGTGCTGCTGCTCCAGGAAGAGATACCTGCCAAGGAGATTCTGGTGGTCCAATGGCTTATAACAACAATGGAAAATTTGAAGTTGTCGGTTTGACTTCATGGGGAAGAGGATGTGCCCAACCGGGTTTTGCTGGAGTATATGCCAGAGTAAGTGCTCAACTCGAATGGATCAAAACAAACACCCAATAAACTTCACAATTTCAAATAAAATGATCTTTTAGATGAAATTAATTAAGAATATATGTAATTAAGGCAGCTCTATGATTAATACATGTATATACCAAAAGAATTCACGCTTTTTAATTATAGAAAAACTGAACATAAGCCATTATTAATAATAATATGATTCAGTGTAATATTTTACAACTCGCAATGATAACCTACTTAATTTAAAATTGACCTACATTAAGATATATTTTTTATTAATCATTTAAATTTCAAACGAAAAGAGTAAACTTCGCTAAATGGTTCATACCACATCATGTCGTAGCAAACCCGAATAAGAAAGGGTTACGCATAGTCTACGATTGCGCGGCAAAATAGCGCGGAAGAAGTGTCAACGATACGATTTCAACAGGCGGGAGGTTTGTGGGAGATATTCCTTTAACATTGACAATTGGAGGAGCGGCAACCACTACGTAATAGGCGACATAAAGGCGCTGTTCCACCAAGTGAACCTTAAAGAATTGGATAGACAATATTTTGGTTTACTATATTGGCCCCCTGGAGAGCCAAAGGCAAGAGAGAACATAGTCGAATATGTAGTGACAAGGCACGTGTTCGGTGCAAAGGATAGCCCCTACGTGGTCTCAGCAACCCTGAGAAAGGTACTGAAGGCCTCCCACCTGTCGAGAGAAGAGAGGGAGGGAGATAGAAAGGAGTTTCTACGCGGATGACCTGATCCTGGCATCCAACAATGAAGAATACCTAGCTGAGGTGTTGGAGAAGGTACTGAAGGCTCTAGACAATTACTTCACACTCATCAAGCTGGCAACTAACTCAACAGAAATTAGAAAGAAGATCCCACTCAAAAGAAAATTATATTATATTATAATTATAAATTAAGTGACGTTAGCAAGGTACAAAAGACAGTGAATGTATTAGAACAGTGTGACAAAGCAAAGAGTAATTAAAAGATAATTTTAGACGGAATTGTCCACAATTCCGTAATACAAGCGAAAAATAAATCTTGTAAATAAACAATCACATCTTCACTTTACTTTATATCATCTGTATTAGTAATAACGAAATATTTACTCAAACAGTGTACTGATCTCATTGCTATTAATTATTTCTATTTCTTTTAAGTATGGTTATCACCTCACTTCTATAGTTATACCTTTCTGGCTTATCGTAACAATATTACAGTATTTTGCTGCTAGTATCTTTCTTCCTTGTATCATCAGTTCATATTTAATCGCTCTGTTCGTTTCCTTTCTCTCCATCAAAATCCAGTCCAGAGTAATAGGTTCTCTGTTTTTCGCATCAATCTTCTTAAGGAATTTGTGATTATCAGGGTGTTGTCTTATATTGTTGCCATTTCCACATTAATAACCTTGCTGGGGTGAAGTCGTCAATGGGACAACCCGTTCTGTTTCTTGATAATTATTCTCGCCTTTCATCCCTCGTCATTCTTTCCATTTTCTTCATTCCATGGTTATTTTCTTTTAACCCTACTAGTAGTCTTTCCACATCATTCTGTTTTCTTACTTCTGCTCTTTGCTACTTACTTCTCATCATATTTATCTGCTCTACTACTTCATTTGTCATCATCTTTTCTAATTTCTTTCCTTCTCGTCTCTCATGTATCTCATCCAACATGAAAGCTTCTTTCCAATGCATGTTATTGTCTCGGATTTCATTGCAGTTCTTTTCGAATATCTCTCCTCTATGTTCTATCACACTTTCCATATTGTTGATTTTAAAATAACTTATTTCAGAAAAATGATATCATTATGAAAATTACATATGTCTCTCCGTATATTTAAAATTGCTATTTAAAGTTGTTTTGAAAGACGTAATTATTCCATTCAGAAATTGTATGAAAAACGAATGAAAAAAGAATAACTGCCCTCTATTTAATCTTATCATGGCAAAATTATCCTACCATTATTTATAGGTCCCAGATGTGTTTTCACTGAAAAAGGTATATTGAATATTTTGTATAAAAGGAGCACATTTTGTCATTTGGTTATGCTTTCTCCTGAAAACAACTAACCAACAATGAAAATCTTCCTTCTTCTCGCTTTTGTAGCTTGTGCTAATGCCCAATGGCTCTGTGAGTATTTCAATTCAAAATCATTCAAATACTTTTGAACACAGCATCACAATTTCAATAAACTTTGAAACTCTTTAGCCAACTGTGGAAGCAGTAAATTTCCAAATCCTGCTCCTGAACAGAGACAAGATAGATTTGGTAGAATTGTTGGAGGATGGGAATCCAGACCAAATGAATTTCCTTATCAAGTATGCTTCTTCCATTGTTTGAATTTGTTATTTATTCATAAAACAATAGAATTATATTTCTTCCCTTTCGATTGCAGTTGAGTTTGAGAAGATTTGGAAGTCACTCTTGCGGAGCTGTCATCGTCAACAGCCAGTGGGCTCTTTCCGCTGCTCATTGTACCTCTTCTGGATCTGCTAATGGTTTAGCCGTTGTTGCTGGAGCTCATCGTAGAAGCAGCCCAGCCGCTTCTGAACAAACTTCAAACATTCTTAGAGTTGTGAATCATGAAGACTATCAAAATCCTCTTCGTTACTCCAACGATATCACTCTTCTTCAATTGGCTACTCCATTGACCTTTAATGAAAATGTCGCTCCAGCCTGCTCTCCAAGAGATGTCACTTATGATGATGATACCGTTACCATTTCTGGATGGGGATCTACCTTCTCTGGTGGCTTCGTTACCGATGAATTGAGATACACCAATGTTCAAGTATGGAGCAATGATGAGTGTTCTGGCCCATACCCAGGAAGCATCGATGATAGCATGATCTGTGCTGCTTCTGCCGGAAGAGATACTTGCCAAGGAGATTCCGGTGGTCCAATGGCTTATAACAATAATGGAAAATTCGAAGTTGTCGGTTTGACTTCATGGGGAAGAGGATGTGCCCTTGCTACTCACCCCGGAGTTTATGCCAGAGTTAGTGCTCAACTCCAATGGATTGCAGATAATGCCAATTAAGAACTATCTGTCTAGTCACGATATTCACTTGAATTTGAATTATTTTAAGTAAAAAATGTGATTCTAAAAATACACTTCTATTATATGCAAAATATTAACTTATTTTTAAGCATAACAACATTTGTAGCATCAAATTTGAAAAAGTAAAAACTGTCATGAAACGACAGAATTATCCGGAAACGGAATCAGAAAACAAATCACTTAAGGTATAGGGAAAATTAGTTCTTATGACAAAACAGAAAGATTTAGATCTACACTTCTATCAAATGCAAAACATTATCCTATTTTTAAGCATAGCAATTGTACAAAAGTTATCAGGTTTTGGTTCGAATGTGGAAGACAAAAACTCTAAGAAAGCGACAGATTTAGTCTGAAACGTAATCGTTAGATTTAAGAACTGTTAAAGTTAGGTTAGTTGTTAAGGCAACCAGAAGTATGTGGATAAAAGACCGGTATAACTCGAGAAAAATTGGTAGAATGCTATTCTCAAAGTGTTAGCTCCTAAACATCCTAAAAATTTCTGAAATCTTATGAAAAGAAAGAAAAATTGGACTAAACGGCTTTATCTAGCACGATTCTTTTCGCAAGATTTAGTTTAACATTTTATAATTATGAGAAATTATTATACTCCATGATATTTCCTTTAGCTGATTCTGCTAATGCGCAATTTAGAAACATAAATGTGAGTGAAATAAATTGTCAAAGCCGAAAACTTGCAGAAAATATTGTAAAACACTTTGTGACATAAATTCTGTATATAAAAAATTATAGTAAAGAAAGTTGTACCAATTTAATATCAGGTAGAGGATGCTTCAAACCAAACGAGTCTGTGAGGTTAATATTAAAAGAGTGTTGTTCCTATAAAACGTTTTTTGAAACATTTAATGGAAAATCACTTTGTGAATGTTAATTTTACGGAGAGTAAACTTGGAATTTTTTATTTATCAGAAAATGTTTATTAACATTAATATATTACTTTTACAAGTTCTGAAAATATGAATTATTGAGCGTTATCTGCGATCCATTGGAGTTGAGTGGAAACTTTAGCATAGACGCCAGGGAATCCTTCAAAAGCACATCCTCTACCCCATGAAGTCAAACCGATAACTTCGAATTTTCCATTGTTGTTGTAAGCCATTGGGCCACCAGAATCTCCTTGGCAAGTATCTCTTCCTGAAGCAGCAGCGCAGATCATACTCTCATCAATTTGACCTGGGTAGGCAGTTGAACATTGGGAATCGGGTGTAACAACGACATTGGTGTATCTCAATTCATCGGTGACTCTACCACCAGAGAAAGTGGATCCCCATCCAGAGATGGTTACGGTGTTGCCATCGTAAGATGAAGTTCTTGGAGCACAGGCAGGAGCAACATTTTCGTTAAGAGTGAAAGGAGTGGTAAGTCTAAGAAGAGAGATATCATTAGCACGAGCGATTGGTGATTGCCAGTCTTCGTGGTTAATGACTTGAGTGATAGCGGAAGTTTGTTCGCTAGCAAGAGGTTGACTCCTGATATGGGCACCAGCAACAACGGTCAATCCAGTTGCAGATCCAGATCTGATACAATGGGCGGCAGAAAGAACCCAGCGGCTGTTAAGAATTACTCCACCACAAGAGTGACTTCCGAAGTTTCTTAGACTGATCTAAATTTACGAAAATTTTTTTAGCTATAAAAATTAAAAGTAAAATATAATATTTCAATAGATTTTACTTGATAAGGAAATTCATTTTCTCTGGCTTCCCATCCGCCCACAATTCTTCCTCCTTTTGGTTTTTCCGGAGCAGGATCAGGGTATTTGCTTCTACCACAATTTTCTATTGACAAAAAAATAAAGAATTAAAATTAAATACTATAATTCAATGAGTTTTAGAATATTGTCTATGAATTGAAAACTTACGGTCCCATTGGGCAGTGGCGCAGGCAACAAAGGCAAAGAGAAGGAAAACTTTCATTGTCAATATCTTGGTTCAACAACAAGTGACAACTTTCTATAAGACTTCACTACATATATATATCATTTGTAACTAGGTGTAAACCAATTAATTATCCAATAACACTACATTCCTATATCTGCTTACTTTTGTTTCTTCCCAGACGTGAACTAAGTTCATTCTTTAAATAGAAAAATTTTAGCGTAGAAAGTTCACGTTATTCAAAAACAATGAATTACATGAAAAAAGTATGAAAAAAGGTCAATTTTCGTATACCGTAATTTATTTAAAGAAAATATTCATATCATTATGATTAATTTCCAGATGTAACTTCCCTGAAAAAAGTATGACAATATTTATCTGATGAAGTATAAACTGTCTCTATGTCAGTAAACTTTCTTTCAATAACAGTTAAATTTTTGTTGCATCTCAATGGGTAGAGAGTGTTCTAAGTCAACTGATCGAGATTTAATTCTAGTACTATAAGTTAGTCTCAAATTATCATTATAATCATCTATATTTGATGTCGAAAGGCAACATTTCAATGTCATACCTTTAGCTTTCTTCACAGATCTGTGAGTTAATTAATATCTAAACTTTCAGTTACGATTTACACTTAAGAAACTCACAAAGAAGAAATTAAAAGGGACGTATAAGGATCGTTAAGATAAATGATGTAAAATTATTTATGACTAATATTGACTATATTAATTAAAATTAATATTAAAACTATCTTATCTTATAATATATGGCATATTAAGGCTATCTTATTCATATTGACACAGAGAAAGTTTTGTAAGAAGAGATCTACTAATGAGTATATAGTATTTTAAGTGAGTAAACTATATCTTACGATCAACAATCAAGCAATAATTTTTAGTGTAATTCACAAAAAACTAAATGTTTATCGCTCATATACTATATATAGTTCTAGCTATTTTTAGAATGTATATCGTTATCGAGTTACTAAAAATCGTTTATCGATTAAAATCAAGATATATTTATATTTATTGAACTAAGATATATTTATTTTTAAATAATACAGATATAAAGTATATTCATATGCATTTAGTCAGCATTTTCTTTTATCCAAGCAAGTTGATGGCTGACTTTGGCGTAGACTCCTGGATGAGTTGGGAGTGCACAACCTCTTCCCCAAGAAGTTATACCTATTACCTCAAATCTACCATCTCTATTATAGGCTAAAGGCCCACCAGAATCGCCTTGACAGGTATCTCTTCCTAATTTAGCTGCGCATATCATACTCTCATCTAATTGATCAGGATAAGGTTCAGAGCAGATTTGCTGAGCTACAACTTCAACGTTAGTATAACGGAATTCATCAGTTGGAAGTTCACCAGACATTGTCCCTCCCCATCCAGATATTGTAGTCGTTTTATTTACATAATCTTCTGTTCGCGGTTCGCATGCAACTGTTACATTTTCATTGAAAGTAAAAGGAGATGCTATTCTTAGCAAGGAAATATCGTTCGACCAAAGAAGTGGATCGTTAAAACTTGGATGATTTTTTATTTGCAGTATAGTAGACTCTTGTTCTGAAGATGGAGGGTCACTTCTCGTATGTGATCCAGCATATAGTTTCAATCCATTCGGCGACTCGCTGGGCACGCAATGAGCGGCTGTAAGTGCCCAGTTTCTGTTAACTAATACTGCACCACAATGATGTCTATCAAACATAGTTATTCTTAACTGACAAAAAAACGGATAATTAATTCCAGAATGAATTTTTATATTTCTTATAATAACTTAAGAATTTACCTGATAAGGAAACTCATTTAAACGAGATTGCCAACCGCCAACAATTCGTCCAAACCTGTCAGTTTGTTGCTCAGGAGCAGGGTTATCATATTTACTTTTACCACAGTCGGCTATTTTTAAAAAGTAAAGCAAAAGTTATATTAGAACTAATTCTAACAAAATAAAACTTACAGAGCCATTGCGCAAATACACAAGGAAGTACAGCAATTAAAATAAACGTCTTCATAACTGCATGTAGTTGCAGCATATAGACACATTTCTAGCTAAATTTTACGATATATACTACTAAAAAAACATATGGATATTCCCAGTTTACAAATATTCACATGTATCTGAGTAATCAAACATTTTCTAGGTGACAGACATCTTGCTTGAAATTTTTCCATTGTTGTTGATGATTCATAATGACGCTTTTGAATGTAAAAGACATCTATTGAACTTATATTATTGGGACAAATTTTCTATTGTTTTATCAGCTCTTGCATATCTCTAAGAGCATTCAGCAGGGTATATCGATTCTGCCTAAATTTTGAATCATTTAGGATTCCGAGACTACTTGCACCGATGGTAATTTCATCATCCTCATATGAGTAACAAAAGAACAGTTTCCTGTAGCTTGAGTTCGCTAGTAAAATCTCTAAGAAAACACAGATGTGTGTTCCAAACATGACAGTTCCTAACATCTTAATAACATGAACATTAGACGAAGCTTCAATTCTCGTAACTGAACAATAATAATCATTAATATCGAAAAAAATTTCTATCACTTCTGTTAATATAAAATTATAAAGTTAACTACAACTTAATAAGCAAATACTTCATTCTTGTACACTGTTAAAAAGAATGAAGGTTTACTATTTAACATGCTCCTTCCTAAACTATTTCAACTAAACTTTTTGGGCATTTTATCTACAATACAAATGAATTAGCACCATAACGATCTAATCACTATAATAACTTTAGACTAGACTTTCAAAAGTGCTTCTTATAAAAATTTGCTGGGTAAGACTTACAGTGTATTTCATACTCCTGTATTTTCAAACTTATTTAATAAATTTTTCAATATTCAATACCTATTTTAAATATGCCTCGTTATCTCAACATGCTAAGTTATACCATGTATCATTTTAAGTTTCTCTCATTAAAACATATTCATCCGAAAAAAAGATAAATGCGTTTTGCAATTAAAAGTCCTGTAAATTGTTATCATCATAAATTTTTAAACAAGAATTTCATCACCAAATATGTAAATTATTTCTTAATCCATACAAAAAAATTGAGGCTAATACAAGTTTGCAACTTTTAAAATCATTTATTCATAAAAATATGTATGTTAATCAGTGGAGAGCATCTGAAATTATAACTCATTCAAAAAGATACAAAAGTAGAACCTTTTCTTTTCAGAATATTTGTTGTTGATATCATTGATAAATCTGAAGTTTTAACGTTAACAGCAACACACTCTTTCCATCAGTTTTTTCTTATTTTGCTTGTAATTAATTACTTAATTGACTTAGTCGATACTAAGGTAAAGAAAGAGCAGAAAGAGAAAGAATAAATGGATAAGGAGATTTGATATCCTGTATACATAAAATATATACATGTATATATGTCTGTAGTAAAAACTTATGAGAAGTTTTACTGTATATTATATTCATTCATCACATAAATGCTATAGTTCACATAAGCATTATATTTTTACATCTTTATTATGTTATTTTTTATATTGTATGTAGTATATATACTCTATATGCTATATATATATTTATTATTGCCACTTTTACTATGACAATGTATCAGTCATTGAAAGTTTATCTATATTTTCCTTGTTAAGAAGTCCAATATCTGGATTATATTGTTATTGTTATTTAACCTATAGACTACATATACAAGGATTAAATGTCTTTAAATATAATATGGAAATTACTCTTCAACAGTTAGCTATTAGTTTAAGACGCGATTCCGTCCAGGCTGTAGACCTAACGGGCATTTATTTTTTAAATACTAGTTTCTATATTAAGATGAGCTCATCACACATGCTACCTTATTTCTAAGTATCCTTTCTATTGCTTGCCAAATTAGTTTTCTTACAATAATTATTATTATCTATTACTTAATTTTAATATCCTCTTACAAAAGTTTGTTCAATTCTAAGTAATTTAATGATATCTCAAACCGCTAGATGGTGCTTTAGTCTGCATTTCATTGGCAATTTGCACGAATTCTATCGTTTTTTTTGTCATTATTATCTATAACGAAATCTCTACCAAATAATTGTAACTTTGATGCATAGACTACTTTTGAACTGCTAAGACGAATAATTAAATGAATTAAATAATGTTCTTCATGTCAGAATGTGTGATAAAGATGAATAAACATTTTTAAAAATAGTTTTTGTTAATGCAAATTCATGGAAAATTAAAAAGTCCTAATATAACTGATCAGTCATAAGCATCCAAATATATCACATTGAAAAAAGTTTCCTCTTTGGATGTTAATTATCTTTGGGAAGAAGACATTTCTTAACACTTTGGTACTTGTTTTCCATAGGAAAATTTTCAAAAATTTCTCTAATTCAAAAGTATATAAAGAAGGAAAAGATGCTTAAAGTTAAAGTTTTCAAAGTTGAAGAAGACTGAAAACACTATGAAAACTTTCATCATCTTAGCATTTGGATGGGAAACAAGAAAGAACGAATTTTCTTATCAAGTTGATTATTAATTAATTTTTAATTAAACACTCTACTTTAGTTTTTCTTACTAATATAATTTCAGTTAAGTTTAACAAGATGTGATAGTCATGTGTGTGGAGCAGTCATTCTTAATAGCGACTAGGCTATAACTGCTGCTCTTTGTGTTTCAAGTGGAAGTAATTCTGGTTTAAAAGTTATTGCAGGTCTTCACAATCGATTCGAAGATTCGGATCCCGCTGTTCAAAAATCTGAAATATTACAAGTAAAGAATCAAGAAGAATGGCATGAACCTAATCGTCATTCAAATGATATCTCACTTCTTAAATTGGCCACTAAGTTAATATTTAACGAAAACGTCGCTCCTTCATGTGCACCAAGAGAAGTTGACTATGCAGGAGATACTGTTACTATTTCGGGATGGGGAACCACCTATTCGGGAGGATATGTTACAGAAGAATTGAGATATACCTACGTCATAGTTCAAACCAACGCAAAATGCAGTGAATCGTATCCTGATCGTATTGATGAAACAATGGTCTGTGCCGCTGCTCCAGGAAGAGATACATGTAAAGGAGATTCCGGTGGTCCAATGGCCTACAATAATAACGGAAGATTTGAAGTAATGGGCTTGACATCGTGGGGAAGAGGTTGCGCTCTCGAAGGTTTTGCTGGTGTATATTCAAGAGTCAGTGCTCAACTTAAATGGATTGCCGATAATGCAAAATAAAGTTTTATCTTTATAAATTTTGAATAAATTGAACTGATTATTACCGTATTTATTAGCAATTGTCTCTCTTTCAGCAACTCTAAAAGTCAAAGATTTCTAATCATTAAAAAGAATAAAGGCTGGGAAATGTTTAGTAAAGTTGAATCAAATACTTAGAAGACACTCTGAGTATTAGTTAATGTAAAGTAGTTGACCAATTCTGATGATATGGTTATCTTATATACTTTATAACTATTATTAAAAGTCTCAGGAAAAAAGTAGTCTTAAGATGATAATAAAAGGCAAAAATTTGATATTAACAGGAGAAAATCATCTTTCATTAAGCTATCAAAATAATATTCTTATACTATCCAATATCTTAAAGATTAGTGTAGAGCAATGTAAACCCAAATACCATTTATCATTAAATGTTGAAATCCTACTAGAAAAAACGTCTAAGTTTTCTAATTCAACTATAGATATTGTAATCAATCAATAAGAAATCATAGTAGTATTTATACCTTTACAAAAAAGTGTTTTACTCTTTACAATGTAATATTTCTATCTGAATGTAGTGCCGTTAACATTTCCACAAGTTAATCAAAATAAATGAATTAGAAATTCATCAGATACTCAATACATTCTCATTTTACAAATCTTTACGTACATAATAATGGATTAATTAAGTCAATGCTAACATCTTATACAAAACAGCTGTCTTTCATCTTCTGAATGTGGAACTATCCGAATAATTAGTATAATTATTAAATAGTTAATGAGATATTTTTAGAAAGACGCCAACAATTGAAAATCTTTTTTATTATCTTACATAGTGATAATTCTTGTTATTTTTAGTAATATTTTATGAAATGTCAATCTTAATGTCACTATGAAAACAACATTCGTTATTTTCTAATATTTTGGCACCAAAACAAAGCTAAAATTCAAAAAGGAAACTTCATGGCAACAGTTTAGTGTACAATAACTAATTAATTCAAACTGCTTAAATGAAAAAATATTATCCTAAAATTAACCAACAATGAATTACATTCTGATCATCAATCTTGAAACATTCTATGAAAAACTTATACTCTAAAATTTACCAAACGATGAATTACTTGTTAAAATACTGTATTCTTATAGAATTCAACATGAAGAATTGAATGTAAATCAGTGGAGAGCATCTTTCTGAAATTATAACTCATTCAAAAAGATACACATGAGAAAGATGTTTTCTTAAACGGCGTTTTCACGGATCCATTCGAGTTGAGGAGAAACTCTAGCATACACACCGGGGTGAGTTGGAAGAGCGCATCCTCTTCCCCATGAAGTTAAACCAACAATTTCGAATTTGCCATTGTTATTATAAGCCAATGGACCACCAGAATCCATTTGACAAGTATCCCGTCCTGGAGCAGCAGCGCAAATCATAGTTTCATCAATGCTACCTGGATATGGTCCTTCACAATCGGCATTTGTCCAAACTTGAACATTCGTATATCTCAATTCATCAGTTGCTGGACTTCCGGAAAAAGTACCACCCCATCCAGAAATGGTTACAGTTTCTCCATTGTAGGTAATATCTCTTGGACTACAAATTGGAGCAATATCTTCACTGAGAGTCAAAGGAGAAGCGAGTTTCAACAAAGAGATATCGTTTGAATAACGTTTTGGATCGGTATATTTTTCATGGTTGATAACTTGAAGAACTTCAGATCTATGTTCAGGACCATGAGGATTACTTCTAATATGTGCACCAGCTAGAACTTCTAAACCAGTTGTAGAACCGGAAGAGACGCAATGAGCAGCAGTCAAAATCCAATTGCTGTTTAGAACAACACCTCCGCAATTGTGAGATCCAAAAATGTTTAGGCTTATCTGTAATATTTAATAAATGTTTATAGGATTCGAATAAAGCGAAGAAGAACAAGTTGAAAACAAACTTGATAAGGAAATTCATTTGGTCTTGACTCCCATCCACCAACTACTCTTCCGAATTTATCAGTTGATTGTTCTCTGCCAGGATCGCTGTATTTGCTTTTACCGCAATCGCCTAATTGAAGAAAAGAATTTAGTGGAAATATACTTAACAAAACAAAGACATACTGATCCATTGGGCGTTAATTTCTACTACAACTGCAAACAAGGCAATGAAAATCTTCATATTTGATGTTTGTTTGTCTCCAAACTGTGTTCAATTGACCGAGGTAAGGTCTTTTATATAATTTCTTTACTCTTCCATTTGTTATTTCCCAGATTATTTGGTACCAGATTTGTATTTGATTTTCGTAAAATGTTAACAAGCATACTGTATGTATGTGTTTTCTTTTGATAACTTCCTGTTGAACGATAACGAATCGAGCATTATCAAAAGTTCGTTGAAATGTCTTTATACTGTTGAACAAAGTTTGTTATCTTAAACATTTTTTATCTGAAAATGATTGGCGTAGTCGAAGTCGTATGTAAGATTAATAATTTATCTCACTTCCGACGGAGGTGGGTAGAAACAGCCGAAAACATGTTCTTGTCTATACTTTTAAAACAAAAGTGATAATAATATGCTTGTTAATCCTATATGAAAATCAAATACAAATCTGGTACCAAATAATCTGGGAAATAACAGATGGAAGAGTAATGAAGTTGTATAAAAGACCTTACCACTGTCAATTAAACACAGTTTGGTGACAAACAAACATCAAATATGAAGATTTTCATTGCCTTGTTTGCAGTTGTAGTAGGAATTAACGCCCAATGGATCAGTATGTCTTTGTTTTGTTAAGTATATTTCCACTAAATTCTTTTCTTCAATTAGGCGATTGCGGTAAAAGCAAATACAGCGATCCTGGCAGAGAACAATCAACTGATAAATTCGGAAGAGTAGTTGGTGGATGGGAGTCAAGACCAAATGAATTTCCTTATCAAGTTTGTTTTCAACTTGTTCTTCTTCACTTTATTCGAATCCTATAAACATTTATTAAATATTACAGATAAGCCTAAACATTTTTGGATCTCACAATTGCGGAGGTGTTGTTCTAAACAGCAATTGGATTTTGACTGCTGCTCATTGCGTCTCTTCCGGTTCTACAACTGGTTTAGAAGTTCTAGCTGGTGCACATATTAGAAGTAATCCTCATGGTCCTGAACATAGATCTGAAGTTCTTCAAGTTATCAACCATGAAAAATATACCGATCCAAAACGTTATTCAAACGATATCTCTTTGTTGAAACTCGCTTCTCCTTTGACTCTCAGTGAAGATATTGCTCCAATTTGTAGTCCAAGAGATATTACCTACAATGGAGAAACTGTAACCATTTCTGGATGGGGTGGTACTTTTTCCGGAAGTCCAGCAACTGATGAATTGAGATATACGAATGTTCAAGTTTGGACAAATGCCGATTGTGAAGGACCATATCCAGGTAGCATTGATGAAACTATGATTTGCGCTGCTGCTCCAGGACGGGATACTTGTCAAATGGATTCTGGTGGTCCATTGGCTTATAATAACAATGGCAAATTCGAAATTGTTGGTTTAACTTCATGGGGAAGAGGATGCGCTCTTCCAACTCACCCCGGTGTGTATGCTAGAGTTTCTCCTCAACTCGAATGGATCCGTGAAAACGCCGTTTAAGAAAACATCTTTCTCATGTGTATCTTTTTGAATGAGTTATAATTTCAGAAAGATGCTCTCCACTGATTTACATTCAATTCTTCATGTTGAATTCTATAACAATACAGTATTTTAACAAGTAATTCATTGTTTAGTTAATTTCAAAGTAAGATGTTCTTTAAATGACCTTAGAGTGACATAAACTAGTATTTAAAAATAGACTATAGAAAGTAGGATATATGTACTGAAGGCTTGAATCTCATATGTAAGATTTTTAGAAGTTTTTGTCATGGAAACAGAATTCACAGTTTCTTTATTTTTTTGTAATAAAAGGTATACGAATAATAGATAGTACATGTGTGCAAGATGACACATTGTGATATATGAATGCGTTTGGGTTAAAAGAGTAGTAAGCGCCTATGTATGAACGTATAATTTGCCTGATTTTGTTTACGGTGCACGCGTCACAGATACGTTTAAGATTATCGCAAATTGAGTAATGTAAAAGTCTCAAATCTAGTCCATGTGCAACCTTGAAGGAGTGTAATAAATATAAAAAAACGCATACACGCATTGACATAGACACGTGTGTGCTCTTAACTTGAGGTCAAAGTAAGTATTTGACGAATTACTAAAACAGTATACTCGTATTTGTAAGACTAAGGTTTAGAGATATAGACTATTCTATACAAAGTATATATAGTATATATACTGTATATATTCCTAAATACACAGAATAGAATTCAAATGACCACCGGCACCAACTATCCAAGTCTATTGGACTCACAACTCACACACCAGAGGAGTATCACGACGAAATTATCAACCATTGATGATAAACTGGAGGAGCAAAGAAATGACATCAGAGAAAGACTAAAAGCAATGTCAATGTAATAGAGACAAGAATAACCGCCCAGATCTCAACAGAGATGACCACCAAGATGGCTGTATTATTCAAATAATGAATCCTAACCAAACAAATTCCATCAATGAGTCACGAAATTCACCCTTATCTTTTCAAACGCAAGAAATATAACATACCCAACTGTCAAAGAACAAAATGGCGGATTCGATCAATCGAAATCGTTACTAAGAAGATGACAGAATACTATCTACCAATGGCCCTGTCATTAAAATAGCAAAATTGATGCTGGTCCTTCAACGTAAGATTTTTGCTATCTGAATTGACTCCTTAAGAAATAAAAAGGTCACTCAATCGGAAAGGTTCGATGATACTAACTATCAAAAATTTCTACAAAACAGTAATTATTTCATTGATAGAATCCAATATTGAAAGTTGTAGAAATGTTTGATTGCAAATCGCTAGATGATGGAAGAGGTATACAGTCGTCAATTTTTGACGTGAATAACGGTAACGTCGATAAAGAGTTTCCCAACTCTAGTCAAGACTCTGAGTTTTGTTTACGGTTAACTACAAGGTGTATTTCCTAATTATAAGTTGTTTACGATCAAGAACAATACAGATAGTTCCAATTACTTGAATCATGGTAGAAACATTGATAATTGAATTTCAATTATTTGTGGATAGATATGGAGGGCCAAAATCAATTATATCTGACTCTGCTCCAAAATTTCGAAAATTCTACTATACTCTTTGTCACTATCAGAAATTATTGTCAGTAAAATATCCGACGTTAAAGTTCAGCTCTCCATACTCCCAAAATAAAATGAGAACAATAGAACATCTTATTGGACTTATAAAAACACTACTGTCTACATCTGAGCTAAAGCCAAATTCACAATGTACTTGGAAATTTATAAGATTCACGGCTTCAGATATAAAATGCAACATGAACCAAACACCCATAAGCTTTACAATCGATGATATAGGCGAACCGATGGTAGTGTCACCAATCCATTTGATTAAATTATTAAAAATTCTGATGAAAAATGATAGGTATGGCAAGCTCATCCTTCTAGTATGCACGGTCTTACATACCACCATCAATTAGGCTACATCTTTGTCCGTTCAAGAGAAAGCCAAAATGGCATCGTATTTTTATACGGATGATTAGCGTCAACGAAAAAGACCTTGTAAACCTCACCTACGGATTACATCATGAGCTCGCAGCAGAGGATTTGCCCTAGCCAAAAACTCTACCAACAGTGCTTGGATAAATTCACATTCGTCCTTCAACATTAAACATGTCGACTCACCCATAAAAGTCCTAGGTTTGACCTATATTCCTGAAGCTCACGAAATCCAGATCAATTTACGAAATTGGAATACTAGAATTTCCATGGCCAAACGACACTCCTACTTAGCCCATACCTACGACATAATGGGGTTTATTGAACCAAACGAACTACAACCTAAACTTCTAATTTCTGAATTCCCTGGTCTTGACAGCTGCACTACGAGTCTTAAACATCAAACACTATAACAATATTTTCCCTAATGTTCCTATTAAAGTGTTCGTGAACTGATGATCGAGTTTTAGCTATTTAAGGACAAATGGGGATGGCCGAAAACAAAAATATCAGATTCTACACCGACATTCTTAGAATTATACCGGACACTCGTTGACGCTATCAAAAGCAATCAACTGTGAAGTAAGTACCTGGCATGGAAGTTCAGGTCACCCTATTCTCCACATAAAATGGGAATTATAGAGCGACTCATCGGGCTTATTAAAATTTTACTACTTGAGTCTGACCTAAAAAGAATCCACCAATGTTCATGGGAAAATACAGTCAAAGACCATAAACGAACCATTTTGTCATTTGAACCATTTTCGTGCAATATACTGTATAGGGTATAGGCAAAAAAAATCAATCTCACACTCTTTTTTCAAAAAATTTTTGTCAGAACTAAAGATAAAGGACCCAGCGAATATGACCCAGTAACAAAGCTAAGAAACGTCGATAATTGAGCAAGAAATGTTGTACTGAGCTTTTCCACGGCCTCCAAAAAAGGACAAAATGACAGAAAGACCAGTGCAAACCAACCGACAGATAGACGACTTAGTACTATCCCTAGATCAGCAAGCAATGTACAAATTCAAGTTCGGTTACATAATCAAACAAATATCGGAGCGTACTTAGAAGACATATACTGATACAGCAAAGTAGAAAGTAAAGCTAGAAATATAACATCACATCTCCCGAACGAATTTTTCCGTTACCCTTCCTTTATTCTTTTTACGATACTCATTCATACTATGTGTAAACTATCTTAATTTATTGCACGATAATAGTACATAATAAACAATTAAGTTTAGCCGTATTGATAGTAATTGGATGTTTTTTGTGTTTTTGGATATCTTGCACCCATTTATATACTCATTACAACACAGATTGAATATAAAGATTAAATATCGGCAATAAAATAACTAGTTATGCACAACATACGAAAATCGATGCTACTGCATTACCTAAAAAGGCAGTAATAACATTTCAAAGTTATTCTAAAACATAAAACTTATTTTTACCCATAGTTTAATCTAAACTTTAAAGTCTCCTACGAACTACCATAAGCATGAGAAATAGAAGAACAAAGACTCTCCTGTTGAGATGATTCTTCTAATGAAAATGTT